TGTGTGTGTGTGTGTGTGTCTCTGTCTCTCTCTTTCTCTGTCTTTCTGTCTTTTTGTCTCTTTGTCTCTTTGTCTCTCTATCGTACTCTCTGACTCCCTCTCTCTCTCTCTCTCTCTCTCTCTCTCTCTCTCTCTCTCTCTCTCTCTCTCTCTCTCTCTCTCTCTCTCTCAATTTCTCTGTTTATTTTATTCTCTAATTTTAAATGCTCTTGTTAAGGACATAAAAACACTTACATTTGAACAAGTTACTGTTTCATAACTGGTCACGTGGTTTCGAAATTGAAGACTTCAAGGAGTTTATCCCAAACGAACCAAGAACAGACGGTTTAGACAGTTACATGTTCCACGTCGTGTTTTACTATCGTATCCATACGACGTGGGGAACTCTGTGCCACCACTTAACCCTATCCGTACGTCGTGTTTTACCATCGTATCCATACGACATGGGGAACTCTGTGCCACCACTTAACCCTATCCGTACGTCGTGTTTTACTATCGTATCCATACGGCATGAGGAACTCAGAACTCTGTGACACCACTTTCCAAAGAGGAAATTTACTCGTTAATCTTTCCGCACGCATTGCATAGCAGTCTGTCAAAATGTTTTTTTGAGAACCCAGTTTGACTCAAAATTATGGATTTTGAGTTGTAGACATTTTTAGCTTCTTCGGTCTTTCTTATAACTATGTTATAGCATTAAAAACCCCTAAAGCCTTATTTCTTCCTATACCGGGCATGTTTGTCACCACCATTTCCTCATAAAGTCAACTTTAAATTTTTCTTTATCGCCCGTTTTCTGAAAACGCAGTTTTTCTATATACGTTTTTGAATAACTTCACCATTTCTTATCCAATCTTCATAAAATTTTCACAGAATGAAGAGAAAATGTAATGCTACGTATCTGTCAGTTAAATATTGTATATATGGAATAGTTTTTTGTTGGTGGTCTCTGGAAAGTGGATTTTCACGGATATTTTGCAAAACTTGAGTACGACTTCAGGAAATAGAAATGTTTCTTATCCATTTAGGAAAAATTCAACAGACAAATTTGTAAATCTAATGTTTGTCAACATGCAAGCAAAAAACCAATGTCTTTCCTTGAAAAACAAGTGCGGTATTCATTACGTAAGACATATAAATAAAATCCAATATGGCCGCCATAGCTTTGGAAAGAAAACTTGTCTCAAATTTGATTGCGGATTTTAAGAATCCTTACTACGCTTGTTATCAGTGTGAAATTTGGTAAAATTTGCTACACTAATAAGCGAGACAGTCTTCAGGTGTAGCCCAAAACCCCC